GTTTAATTTAATTTTGGGTTGTTAATTTAAGATCCAGTTATCTCATACTGATACTGTTATCAGAACTTTTAAAATTTATGCAGCCATGTTGACAAGGGTAATCAAGGTGTAAATGATTCTCGATGGCTTCATAGAGAGCCTATACTGGTAACTGTGAGCGGTGATGGGAGGTTAGAGCATTTTCTCTCCTTTTTTTCTCGTCTTTTTGTCAGGCTCACAAGATAAATTTTGTTATTCTTTATATATAGTATTGCAATGTGGAATGTTTCCCTAGGTCAACCCTGTATCAGACATATCTTTGGCCATACAAGATGCATTAATACTGTAAGTTAATTATTTCATCCTTGTTTAAATGTGTCATGGTGATAACAATTCTTTACTTGGTTTATTTGTTACTTTTTTGCCACATGAGAACCTTGTCTTCAATTGGAGCATTTATTGCCAACTGCAGATTGCTGTAGCTCCAAATGATGAATACTTGTGCACAGGCGGAGACGATCAAAAGATTGTAAGCTGATCTTGTTTTTCTTAAAGAATGGTTCATTTATACATCATTATCTTAGAAGCCTAGGGCTGTTCAAACCAAACATCCCATAATACCTTGTTCTTGTATGTAATCCTTGGAAATTATATTGTGAAAGTGAAACAAGCACAATTACATTTGAGACTCAACTTAACTCACTGTAACGCAATACCAATGAGAATCGAGCAACTAACAAAACTTTGCTTTCTTTTTTTGATAAGCAAACAATTTATGTAAGCATGACAACGTGAGAACCAAGATAACTGTCCTAATATGAGTAAATCATGCAACTTATGTCGTGGTAACCTACTTAATCAAATCCATATCATCCTGATTCAGCCAATCTGGACCTTCTAATCTGTCCAACTTCTTCTTATAAATAAATAACAGAATTAATGCTAGAAGACTCTGCTTGCAATGGCACAAGCGATTGACCACTTATAGAAATACATATTTTTCTGCAGCAGCCAGTAAACTGGTATTTTCTCTCAAACAAAAAACGTACTTGGAACTTTTCTTTTTGCTCAATGCTGATCTTCCCTTCTTGCGTCACTTGAATTTATAATTGAAACTTTTGAGGAATATCATTAACCACAATAATTAGTAAACATAAAGATCAGTACCCAAAAGATTACCATATTTCACTACTAACAACTTAATGTCTGTTTGCATACTTAACACTATGGACCAAAAACCAACATTTTAAAACTACTCTACTAGTTTCTAAGAGTGCAAGAAATAGATTAATCCATTATCTTAATCAGTGTTTAGAATCTTAATCTGATACTGGTACGAATTGTTGGCTAGATCTGCAGTACTAGTATAGAATTAGGATTAAGATAAGTTTGTCTCTGGGATTATTCTTCACCTATTGTTAACTTTTCATCATTTTGGAAATTATTAGCACCCTAAGTTCAGTGGCAAGAAAAGATCTAAGTAGCCAAGCCCAAATAATCATGATCTTGTAAATAATTGTTGTATTGTTTTGGCCTTTTGGGAGTTCTAGAGAGATTTGACTTCATCCATCGCATTAGAACATGGGTTAATATTACTCTTCTACCATTTTGGAGATTGTGTGTGTGTGTGTTCATTCCTTCGAATTTTATTCTGTGGTTTTTACACTTCCTATGTTTTCACAGAGTGGATATTGAATAGTTCAATGGTAGTAGTAGTAGAGAAGATATCCAATTAACTATTGGCACTAGAAGTAACCTTACCAAGACTGAAGTGGGTTCAAGATCAATTATTTGGTATAGGATTGGACTGACTTAAATTTATTAAACAGGAACATGTTTTCTTTTTTCTCTTTGGGAAATGCTAGAGATAGACTGGAGGAAACATTCAGAATTGCTCTAGAATGGTAAAATCAATCAACACTAAGCAAAGTTGTCTTAATTGACTACTAACTGATTAAAATTGATCGGACTCAACTTGATCGATTGGATTAGCCAATAAATTGAAATTGGAGGCCGATTTCTACAAAGGGTGAATCTAATGCATGACGCTGTCTAAAGAGATTAATATCTGTAGTCTTACCCTTGAAATTAGAGTGATTGTTTTTTGTTGATGTGAGCCCTAGTCACTCAAGTTGGAAAAGAAAAATTTTACGATTCTACCAAGGTTCACCCTTTGGAGGTTGATTCCCATAGTCCATAAAAAATCTGGGGATTTCTCTAAGCCTGATCTAGATTAGTTGGGATTGGTTCCTAATCAGCGGATCCAATAAGCCATCACACTTAGTGGGATAACCTTCCCTCATCAAGTGTAAGCTATAATGTGATGAAGTATCTAGAATTTTTTTTATTCTAAAACAACTATATCTAGGTTCTCCTGGATGAGGGTGAAGCCCACTTCATTTTCTGTTTTGTTAGCGGCTATAACATCAGGGCACTTGTGTTTTGTGACATGTGAGTCATGCTAAGACCATGGTGCATCCTAGTTAGTCTATGGCCTAGTGGTAGGATAAAGGACCAAGAATGATAGCAACATGTTGGCCTCGTTACGTCTTGGAATCCCACATTACCTACAGGAGATTCTAGAAATTCAATGAGCCTGACTGGAATGCTGAAGATTTGAATTGGAGAGATAAAGATATTTTCCTGACTGACCATCATCAGGTGTAGACTATGACATAAAATGGCATACGTGTCATTATCTACTATCAAAGAGTAACGTTAGATAAAGCCTGTGTTCTGGGTAAGTGAGATGCTAAATATTCCTTAAAATTGTGATTTGTCCTCTCCATTAGTAACCTAATCATGATAGTGTAATCTTCTTTACAGTATAAAGTGGAAGGTTTGCTCTTATTTTCCATCTTCCTTATTTGTCAGACGTTTTGATTATGATTTCTGGATACATAATGGTTAGAGACAGGCTTAGATGTGTTTGAAAGTAGAAGAATCATTCTGATCTGGAACCTAGACCAGTATCTATAGTGAACCTTTGTTTGGCCTACTTCAGATTGTAATCTCTAGCTCCATGGCTGTATTAACTTCACGTCAAAACAATCTTATTTTACTGCCTTAATTTTCTAGCATTATGTTGATTTCTGGTGTAAGTAATTTATTGGAGTCCCTCTTAGTTTTGTCTTTGAAGTAACATATTATCAACCTAAGAACCATCTAGAAAGTATTCTAGAAATATGTATGCCTCTGAACTCTGAAAATATTTTGGTTGACAGGTTTTGTATCACAACAAAAATGGAAGTACCGGCTCAAATTGGCGACTGTCTCATCCACTGGAGGATATTTAGAATCTTCTAAAAATGGTTGCTCGAGTCTCGTGCTGGCAGTTTGTGCGTTGAAGGTGAATGCATATATGGCTTTGGTGGTCATCAGACTACTGGCAATGATTCCACTCTCATGCAACTACAATTGGCACATCCTCGGGTGCAAAGGTACAATGGATAACAAACTGTTACTACCAATCATGATGGTCGTGTGATGGAGATATCTCTTGAGCATGTTAATTTAAAACACATTTCCATAGCCAAGAAAAATCAATGAGTTGGAGTAAAAGCGTCATGTTTTCTGAAGGTGTCTATTTTTAGGATCAAGGACTGTTTCATATGCGCCCTTGACATTTTGCCCAGTCTTTTATAATCACTTGTTTCAGTGACATTATTGATGTTGAGTGCAGCTGTTGGATTATGATAGGAACGGTCTCGAAGTTAAGTGCGAGCTGCAAAGAATGTGTATGCATAAGCATTTTATTGGATGGCTGTTTTTTTCTTTCAATTTTTTTTTCTTGAATGTTCTCGTTATATTAGACAGCAGATGCTCGTACGTGGACTCCAGTTGGAGATTCAAAAGGACGTCGACGGTTTCTAGTGCTTGGCCTCGAGCCAAAGTGAACTTTTATTACCTGCTGCATGGTCTATGTTCTGTATTGATTGCATAATCCATTATAACGCTGCTTTAATTTTGTTCAGATCGTGATTCGCCTTAAGTTCTATCAGAGTTACCTCTGGTTTAAAGGTACAAACCCCAATGTTATTCAGTTACCTGAATCAAGTCATCCAAGAAGTTTCATTAACCGTACAAAGGCAATGATCTGTTCTCGATACGGGGTTTGTGTATCATGATCTCAATTATTCAATTTGATTATCTTACGAGTTTTTCTACTATTCTCCTGAAATGATAACCATTTTATATAGTAGTTTATAATACAAGAATTCTTCCGTACCTATTGGCAGAAGGAAGATTGTTAAAAATCGAATGTTTCAAATCCTTCTGATTACAGAAAAATTTATCCCAAGGTTTCACAATTCGTTGAAGCTAAGTTTCCTACTTCTTGAGTCAAAAATATTAACCCTATTTGATATTTGATTTCAAATATATAAATTTGAAGAATGTATTCTTCTTGTTAGAAAAGCTGTTTGTTTCATCAAGAACAAAAGGTTAGATAGAGATCATTAAAGATTCAGTGATATATTTGTAATTTGTGATTGTTTCTCAAAATAGGATGAATGTTTCAAGCATCAAACACTAGTCAATAAATAATGAATTTATTTCCTACTGTTATTGAACATGTTTGGATATAGAGAGTTATGGGAGAACTTGATCATCAAATAAACAAAATGGTATTGGTGAATTTGATCAAATAAATAGCTTGGAGATTGCTGTTGCTAGGCATTTAAATTTGTCCACTTAACAGGTAATTTAATGTACACTCAATATATTCTTTTTACAAAAGGAAAGTTAAATTATTGCTTTAATGTTCTACATAGGCAAATCCGTGGGATAATTATCCATCGAGAGCATGGATGATCGACTAACTCTTGCATCATTGGTAGCCCAATTAGTTGTCTGATTACATTATTCTCTTTAACAATGTAAAAAAAAAAAAGAATGAAGTTAATCATTACAGATGTGTTTTGACTTGTTGAATGGTGATTTGCAGATGTCAAGGTGGATCAACTTCCTTGGTAAAGATGTCAGTGTTAAAAGAATCAGTTTCGATTTGGATGTATTGGATTCCTTGATCTAAATATTAAAGAATTCTTGGAGAAAATTTAAACAAATTTATATCTTGAATACTAAAAACCCCTAAATCTTTAGTACCAATGTCCCAATTAGTGCGATTTTGAAGATACCAAAGTTTTGATAGCAACCATGTATCTGAATGAGGATGTAAAACTTTGATGGCGAACCTGTTGGGAGGAGATCCAACAAGGTCGGTGTCGAGTGGACATGTTATACACTTAGCTGGTTTTGCCTGAGTCGTGCGGCACCCTTGCGTGTTCGTCCGCAAAGGTCAGTCTCCCCAAAACCTCCTATGGTCCCTTAGGACTTACAAAAGAGAAACCGAGTTAGAGAAAGCGTCTCACTCGGGATCCACAATCAATCGTTTCGGTAAACACTTTATAATCAATGCAAATTACAAACATACTTCACAAGTTCTGAACGGTCGCATAACAAAGGGTCCAAAATGGTCCACTACATACTAAAATCGTCACAAGTGCTCACATACACAACCTTTGTTTGTAAGTCTAGGATGACCACCAAAACCAATGAAAATGAGGCTGTTAAGCCCATTGCCAGCCCTTTACATGCTGTGCAATGCATGAATAAAACTGGAAGACACGGATACGCATCTAAGTAACACTAAACGTATGTAAGGATATATAGTTTATAACTGATTTAATTAGGACAACCCAACTAGCTTGTGAAGGATGATTATGAGATATGTCTGGATCGAATTTTATTCATCATGATAAGAAAAAGGCAATCTTCTTGGAGAGATTGTGGCTCTGAGGTATTTAAATTAGAAATTTCCTTCTTTCAAGTTTAGAAGAGAACAAATATTATTTATAATATGCTTGAGAGTAGATTTTGAGAAATATATTTCTGATTTAGAGAAATTAAGTTTTTGGTCTATTAAAATCTCATAGATGGTGGAGTTGATAGTTTGACAAGATTCTTTATTAGCTCGAAAGCATAGTAAGATATCATGCGTAAATATTATATAACTAAGTTGGCAATTTGGGCCAAAGTGAAAAAAATAATTTTGATTTAGAAGACAAGGGTTTGAACTACCAGACAGGATAAACAAATAAGGAAATAATGGGTCTCCTTATCATACACCACAATAATATTTGACAGGAGAGAAAAACTGACCATTAATAAGGTATTGAAAGGAAGAAAAAGGTAATGCAAGCATAAATCTAATGGATAAATTTAAGTTGAAAAATTCATTAAACTAAGAACTTATACGATGAAATTTCAAGAAAACCTATCAAAAGCTTTTTCTATTTCATTTTAACTATAACTAGTGCGTTTTTCCCTTTATAAGAATATATAGAATAAATAGTATTTTAAGCAATCAATATATTGTCGATTGCTTGCCACTGATAAGGTGGTCAAGGAATGGTTTGAGCTTGTTTTTGACAACTTAAGAAGGATTCTATAGTTAATATTAGATAAAGCAATAGGTCAAAAAAGATTTATAGTGAATGTATTTTTTAACTTTCGGTATAAAAGTTAGGGAATATAATTATGATGAAAGAATCAATTAAAAGTTCTTTGTAACGTTGTGAAGTTTGCTTAACTCTTTGCGCAGTTTCATAATGTTCCTCGCCAACGATCCGAGGTTGTAACATAGTTGACGTTGAATCTAAAGGATCCACTGCTGGATAAATACCTTTGGCAGCTAATCCTCTCGATAATACGGTAGTAGCATCTAAATGTGCAAATGTCGTGGCAGGAGCAGGGTCGGTCAAATCGTCGCAGGTACAACTTCATCCATATAAGGGGCAAATAATATCCCAATAGTATCTATAAAAATCTCTTATCAACCTAGTAGGTTTTTACAAAAAGTCCCATGACATAATTGTTAGTGATAGGTGCTCTGTAGGCCAATCGCGTGAGTGATGATATGTTTGACATAATACATAATCTTTTTACTTATTATTTATTTGATATTTTTTCACTTTATATTGCCTATTACATATATTGTGATGTCCATAGATTTATGCAATGAGAATCAGATTGTGATAAAATCATGATAATGAGACTGATTCACCTTTAAACATAAACCATAAATAATCTCAGTCATATTTCACTCGAGAGAGATATCGAGATGATCGGATAGACTGATGTGCTGTACACCCATCCATATGATGGAGACGACTGGTCTTAGAGCACTCGTATGGGGATGCTAGGGATACCGCGTAGGTGCTCATAGAGAATGAGTTCACTGATTGACCCGCTCATGAAATGTTGAATGGTTGATGATACCTCATTGTTAGATAGTGATTCCGTCATCATAATAGTATATCTAGTCCTTAGACTTGAGATACCAAGTATGTCCTGTATGAGTACTTCACTTTTCGATACGGGACTTATAGACCTGAAAGATTTATATTTAGCACAACTAGTCATTGGGAGTGGTAGCCAACCTTACAAGGGCTATTGAGTATTGATAGAGGATCATCCATTCTCAATGTTATGAGAGGAATATCCGATATATTCATGCTCAAGCAAATCTCAAGCTAGGGTCATTTGGATTGAGAGAGTAAGTGTTCTCGGGGAGAACCCATATGGTTTCTACTCGAGTCTTGTTGTTAGAAACCATATAGGTTTAACAGCACCATGCCCGATATATGATCTCTGGGCTATTAGATGGATGAGAGATTATAAATATATGATAACTAAGGATAGATAGGTCCAATGGATTGGATTCCTTTGTATCATCTGGGGATTATGGCGTAGTGGTTCAGTACGTCTGTAGTCGATGAGTCGAGTGAATTATTATAGAGATAATAATTCACTAAACCAGAAGGAGTTCTGATAGGCATAACTCACAATCAGCTCGATATTAGGCTTAGAGGGTCACACACATATGATAGGTGTTGCGGCGAGTAGAGATTTGAATATGAGATACCCACTCGAGCCCCTATCTTATTGGATATCCAATAAGCCATTGAATTATTGGATCTTATGGATAAGATCCAATAAGAGCCAATAAGAGATTATTGGGTAGCGACCCACTAATCTAAGAAACTTGGGTAGTTGGATAGAGATCAAGTATCAAATAGGGTAGGATCCATTAGGGTTAAGTTGATAGGGGGTCTCTATAAATAGGAGGGAACCAAAGGGCCATAGGCTAGACCCATTTTAGCTGTCACATCTTGTTCTTCTCTCTCCCTCTCCTCCTTGGCTAGCAACTCATGTTTGAGACGTGTGGACAGCAGGAAGGGTTGACCCCTTCTTAATCACGTGGTGCGCGTGGAAATAAGGTTTATATAGCGATTTGAGGAGCATCTTCGTAGTCTATCTTGAACATCACTAGCTTGCCTATCTCAAGAAGCAAAACTTGCAACTTGCACATTGCAAAAGGAAGTAAAAATAGCTAGCTTGCATATTCTAAAATTTTTAAAAAATTTTGCTAGCTTGCATGATGATAAAACTGGAGATTTATGATGTAATGATTTGTACTTATATCTCTAAACACTTGAAAGTTACACTTCTCCTTTTTGTTGATGACAAAGAGGGAGAAGTATGATCATGTTATGCATGATGATGTATTGCAAATATTCATGATGAAATTTGCAATGACTTGAATTCAACTTGAATTCAATGTTCTATTAATATGACATATTGATAGAGGGAGTTAAGGTTAACTCCGTTATCAATTGGTTATCATCATCAAAAAGGGGGAGATTGTTGAATCTCGTATTTTGATGATGAAACCAATTGATAAGTGTTTATGATTTGATCTGAATTTTTAGTGACGCAGGATGCTTCGATCAGGATGAGATAATTAAAGCAGGAAGAATCATGTTAGGCCGGTGGAACATGTCAGAAGATTGGACGTCGAGCCGGAGGATCGGTTGACGTATCGATAGAAGGCTTTGGGCCAT